ACTCACCTCCGTCGCCAATCAACCGCATTTGTACTAAGCTGGGGTCCTCGTTGTGGTCCTCGAGAACTGTGTCATCGGTGACAGTCAGGTCCTGGAATTGGAATCGCAACGAGCGTGAATATGCAATCAAAGTGGTCGATTGACTGTACGACTCTCGAAAAACAGCTTTTTGAGGCTGATTTAAAATAAATATGATTACGAATATATAAATACAGCCAGGTCGTAGAATTAATCGGTTTAATCGGGAAAACGAACGGATAAATCGAGATCCACGCGGTAATTCCCGGAGGAGGAAATGATTAAAAACTGAAATTTTGCATGGAGAATAAGCTCTTTGTATAATTACTTTTTTTTTTTTTTAATTTTTATTTTTATTTATTACCCCAATTTGTGGATAATCTTCGCGATTAAATCTACAGTTAATCCCAAAAAGCGATCGTATTCGATATATTTTACGAAAAGTTGTAATATATTTAACAATAAATAAAAGCAATCTCTCCGATATCAATCTTTGACATATACAAATGCCCCATTTTAACAATCGTTTCTTCTTTTTACCTTCATTTCTATTTTATTTTCCTAGATGCATGAAATAACATTATTTTAAAACTTCCAATTATCGAAAAATTTATTCTGCATAAATGAATAATTATTCGCCTAATTATTACCTTCCCTCGATATTACAAATTCAATTCCTGAGAAAATACACATTTGCTATTAGAGAAAAAAAGAAAAAAAAAAGAATCATTACAAATTCAAGATTAACAACTCGATTGATTCTACTGATCGGAATAAAAATTTCGGAAGCAAGACTTTACCTTGGTGGACTCGTTGTAACCAACGATGACGGCAGTGTACCATTGCGTGGTGCCCTCGGCTCGATAAACTTCGACCCTGAAGCCGACTAGAACGCTCGGCGTGGTGAGCAGGATCCTTTGTCCGTCCTGCATCTCTGCCCATCGCCTGACAGCGCTCGCCCAAGGCACCGAGCCTTTCGTAAGCTCCCAGTCCTGCTGCAGAAACAACGGCTCGGTTGAAGCCTCGTTACGGGACAAAACGAAATCCAAATCCTTTAAATTAATTCTTTGACCTCGTTTCGACGATTGTAAAAGTAGAAAAAAAAAATATATATATATATATTCTTCGTTATTTGCAAAGGAGATAAAATATAGCGATTAATTTTTTTCTTTTTTTTTTTTTAAGCAATAAATCTAACTTCCTCGAGGCGGCCATCGAGGCAGACACGATACTTCACGTATCGTAACTGGGTGATTAATTCTCCTTTGGCGGGTGATTCGTTACGCTCAGGGAAATAATCGCTTTGTGAAGACGATTCTTCTTTCGTTTTCCATCAATCGTTTATTTGTGCAAACCGATAAACTCGACAAAAGCTGCAAGCATTTGTTTTGTTTAAGCGGGATTAGTTTTTAATTTGCCTATTCTCTGGAAACAGAGAGATGGCGCTCGCTATATATGGCGCTCTATTGTTTTAATCAGCTGATAGAAGTAACAATTCAATTTTCTTCTCAATTATATACGCTTCATGCAATCATCCGTTTTGTACAACCAATGTTATTAATAATTTCATCAAGTAAAGAAGTAAGAGCTGTAATTTGATTATTATAGTGGTTAGAAAATAATTATTCCACGGAGATTCAGAGGCAAAATTTATGTATTATAAAATGTGAAAATATTATTATTATATATACACATAACAAAAATCAAAACGTACTTTTTATATGCAATAAAATTTTTTTCATCATTATTTCAAAATCAAACCTTAGTTTTAAAAAGAAACCGACATCGAGGTAAAAGAAAATCGAAAATGGAATCAGATTTATTTAGTAATAAAACTTCAATGAAGTAATTCTATTCCGTTCTACTCTGTCTCTCTTTCTCTCCCCCCGTCAATATTTTCACAAATACAAGACAGTTATACGCGTGTTGCGCCAACATCTCGTTACGTCACGATCGCATCGTTACGTCAGATGCGTTGTGTAATCACGACATGAAGGCGCAAGACGTGGTGATACACGATAATAGTAATATAACGGCAATTATAATCCCATTACCGAAGCGTTGAGAGAGGCTCAACAATCGCTCTCCAACGATTTTCGTGCGATACCAACGACAGCCGATATTTTCCAACGGTGGAAAGAATTTTTCTTTTTTTTCCCCAGAATAATCAAGAAGAGAAAATCCTTTTCGAGGATTCGAAAAAAATGTTGATTGAATAGTCGATTGAATGGCAAAGAAAATATGTAGATGTAGCACGTGATTGGATTCGAAGAAATTTTTTCGAAAAAATATTGGACAATTTTATGTATAAAATGTAATTCGACGTTAACTTGTTTTCGTAAGCGGACGTGTAGAGGATTTTAAAATCCGAAGGATCGATGGAGCGAAGAAGAAAATTCTCATATACCAATTAATTGAATCAGAAGAAGTTAAGAAAATATCTTTTAATGGATCAGAATTTTTTCTAGAAATATTCCAAAAATAGAAAGAATTACCTCAACCTTCGCCTATCCTCTGCTTTACAAAAACGATAATTAATAATTATCACCTTTACCCAGCTAATATTTCTCTTTATCTCTTTATCTCGAAGGCTCCAAGCCTTCATCGAGACATGGTATCTTTCTCTCTCTCTTTCTCAAGAGTCGAAACGACGATCCACGAGGCGCGAGGAGAGAAGAAAACACGAGGAAAGGTACGTATACGCGGGGTGTATCGAGGACCGTTAGGTAAAACGGGAATATGTTGGCGCCTCGCGTTGGCCGTTCTCCAACGTTTCATCGGTGCAACACGGTGTGTCGACACGAGTCACCAAACCGGCAACCGCGGAGGAAACAAGAGCGAAAAAACCGTCTCGAAAGGTTCACGCGAGCCCCTCCCCCCTCCGCCCGAACGAATCCACGTGATCGCTTCTTTCCGTCCCGTACGTACATACGTACGTACGTACGTATTGCACGGTATGCGTGTTGCTAGGTATGCGCCTCGAAAACAGAAACCGGCAGAAAGAACCCGTTGCATTTATAGTTCAGGGTCACCACACTGTTCGCTCTTTCGCCCGGTCCAACCGATCCGACTCACTCCTTCTCCGTTCCGTTTGGAATCGACTCCACCCACTTCTTCCTCCTCTTCCTTTTGCCCTCCCCTCCTTCCTCCCAACCGCCCCTTTCTCTTTCTCTTTTTCACCACCATTCGGCGCCACTCTTTCCTACATTGCTCGCTCGCCACTCGCTCTCTTCCTTTTGCCAACGCGATTCTTCCATCCCGTTTCTTCTTTCTTTTATATCCTTTTGTAGCCAGCCGGTCGCAGCTATTTTTTTTTTCTTTCTCACTCCTTTTCCTTTGTTCGCTCGAAACATTCCTTCTACCTTACGTTCGTTTCATTTCTCTCTTTTGCTTTCGCCCATTTTTTTCTTTCGCTTCTTTGGCAATTCCACTGTTCTTTTCGCTTCTCGAGCGAAGATGTTTTCCTCTGTCTTTTGCGAAGGGAAAGTGCAGCTGCATCACGTGTATCAAAAATCGATAATCGAACGGGCGGCGAACGATGGCCAAGCGAGCAATTTCCACTGACCCCGATGTGTCGTCCCATTATTTCTCTTCTATTTTTAAGCGCGCTAACGCGATGAAGTTCAACCGTCAGCCTATCTCAGGATTATTTTATTTTATTAGCTGCGCTAACGTTCCGTTGAGAAAGAAAATGCAAAAAGAAATGATTCGAGAAATGTAGAATAAATTTTTTCTTCTAGACTTCGTTCTAGACTTCGTCTTCGAGTGAATCATGGTATTAATCAATGCTGAATCTTCAAACAAATTTATTCTATACTTATCTTTTAATCAAAATACCGATCAATACGTGCTTGAAAAAGGAAGCCGTAAACGAAAAGATGTTTTATTCTTAAACATTCCTTTCGAACTTTTCCTTGCGTGACAAATTAAAGAGTTATTTATTAATTAAATCTCAATGTTCTTGGGAATCGAGCGCGAGAAACGTATTACTTTTCTTTCTCTTTCTCTTTTTCTTCCATCGAGCGAAACTAATTCGAAGGTAATCGGGTTTCATACGATGGCCAGCGGAGGATCAAAACTCTCGCGCAGCTGATCCTGACCACGATCTTCCCGGAAACTTCTCGCCGCACGTGAATGACTTAGAAATTCGTCGGGGATCCGAGAAAACTTTTAACGGTAAAAGTTCCGCTAGTTTAATTACTTGGAAACAATTCCCCGCATCCGCGCCCCACCAGTTCGAACGTAAAAACTTTTCAAGTACGCTCGACCGTGCTCCGGGAGAAAGCACTCGTCGGATCGATTTATCGTGCTTCGCGCCATGTTTTTCCCCTCCACCCGCCATCTTGAAATATCGATAATCGATCGCAATTCTTTTCACGCTCCAATTTTTAACCAAGTCGTTTCAAGATTACGTGTAATTTAATTTTATTTTTTGGATAAAATTAGATTGAAAATTAGAATAACAATGTTTCGCCCTTGATCATTCGTCCTTTAAAGGATGAAAACGAAAAATTGGAAATTCGCGCGAATTTTTCAAATTTATTCTCACTCGATAAAGCAAATTTCTACGAACGAACCCTTAAAAAAGTAAACTGAGTTTATTATACAAATTTGAATCTTCGTGATCGATCGTAATTTTGAATAATAAATTCAGATCCCTCGAAAAGATGTTAAACTTTTAAAAATTGGATTGGACGGAACCAGGGGCGACTTAAAGGCGATATATTCGGTCGGGATCACTCATCCCTCTCGAAAGATTACTCGCAGTCACGGTTCCCCGAGGGCTGGCGGATAGGTCAATAGCCTCGGAACTTGCTTCCAAGTTTCCTCGCCGTTTCTAACGAACTAAGTTTCTCGTTGTGAGGTTGCAGCTTGCTCGAGGTCGGTTTCGGGAAACTTGCGTGACACTTAATCGGCCAAGGATCCCGAAAAGGCACCCCCATCGATAAAATATATAAATCGCTATGTAAAGAAGAGGGGGAAGATTCCTCCACGGGTTTTTAAAGCGCGATCGATCGATCCGACTTGTTCCAACTTTGGGAATGAAGATGGAAGTTTACATTTTTCACGATGTTGTAAAACGTCGGATTCGTGGAAGTCGATATCGAGGAAATAAAAAAAAAAAAAAAAGAGAGAGAAAACATGGATGCTATATCATCATATACTCACGGTAAACGGCTTCAGCTTCGAGTAATCGACGAAGTCCAGCCTTCGATCTTGCATGAATTCGAGAGGCATCGCGTCTTCCGGTAACTCTGCACGCGCCACCAGGGGATAAAACGTCTGCAAGTAAATTCGATTCGATTACGTTGACGTCCATTATTCACAGTTGGTCGTATCATAGTATGTCAAACGTTTTTTCCAATTTAATGAAATTTTAATTGTAAAAAGTTTTTTTTTCGTTCCAAATTAAATTATTGTTACGAATTTAAGAAATGCATTTTTACATATAATTTTTTTTTTCTTTTAATACGATTCAAGTGGAAATGCAATTATCGATCGTAATCTTTCCAAATTATTTTCCAATTTAATGAAATTTTAACCGTAAGTTTTTTTTTTTCGTTACAAATTAAATTGTTACGCACGAATTTAAGAAATGCATTTTTATACATAATTTCTTTTTTTTAATACGATTCAAACGGATAGAAATAGAATTATCGATCGTAATCTTTTTAAATTATTTTCCAATTTAATGAAATCTTAAAAAGTTTTTTTTTGGTTGCAAATTAAATTATTGTTACGCATGAATTTAAGAAATGCATTTTTACACACAATTTTTTTTTTCTTTTAATACGATTCAAGTGGAAATGCAATTATCGATCGTAATCTTTTCAAATTATTTTCCAATTTAATGAAATTTTAACCGTAAAAAATTTTTTTTTTCATTACAAATTAAATTATTATTACGCACGAATTTAAAAAATGCATTTTTACACACAATTTTTTTTTTCTTTTAATAGGATTCAAGTGGAAATGGAATTATCGATCGTAATCTTTCCACATTATTTTCTTAAAAACTTTTTTTTTCGTTGCAAATTAAAATATTGTTACGCACGAATTTAAGAAATGCATTTTTACACACAATTTTTTTTTTCTTTTAATACGATTCAAGTGGAAATGCAATTATCGATCGTAATCTTTCCAAATTATTTTCCAATTTAATGAAATTTTAACCGTAAAAAATTTTTTTTTCATTACAAATTAAATTATTGTTACGCACGAATTTAAAAAATGCATTTTTACACACAATTTTTTTTTTCTTTTAATACGATTCAAGTGGAAATGGAATTATCGATCGTAATCTTTCCACATTATTTTCTTAAAAACTTTTTTTTTTCGTTGCAAATTAAATTATTGTTACGCACGAATTTAAGAAATGCATTTTTACACACAATTTTTTTTTTAATAGGATTTAAGTGGAAATGGAATTATCGATCGTAATCTTTCCAAATTATTTTCCAATTTAATGAAATCTTAAAAAGTTTTTTTTTTTGGTTGCAAATTAAATTATTGTTACGCACGAATTTAAGAAATACATTTTTACACATAATTTTCTTTTTTTTAATACGATTCAAACGGATAGAAATGGAATTACCGATATTAATCTTTCTATTTCTTTAATTTGCGCGATAAAATTTAACAAGTATTTAACAAATAAGCGTATACAAAAAAATTTTATTCCGATAAATTTCTTTTTCTACGACAAACAAACTAAACCGTCGAACGTTACGAGGGCCGAAATAAAACGCGAAAACCGAGATATTTCCATTATTGCATATCCATATTTAATCCAAGTGGCGTCTTTTCGACGCGACGAAGAGAGAGAGAGAGAGAACAAGAACAAAAAGAACGACGCTCGCGAGAATTAATTAAAAGTTCCGGTTAATTAGGATCAAAGCTCGCGTCCACCGAGGGAGGAGACGGAAATCCACTCGACGCCCCGCGCACAAGATCACGGACAGTTTTGCATTTGCAATCCATAGAACTGCACTGTTCTCTCCCCTTCCATCGAATAGGGGAATCGATCTCGAGAAGGCGAAAAATGGACGCTTAAAAAAAAAAAAAAAGGAAAAAAAAAAAGAATACGAAGAGAAACGAAAACGCTAGAGTGACGGAATTTAAATTTCGTTTAAAACGTGATCGATGATTAAGACGAGGAAAGGGTGAAGAAGGCGCACTTACGAGAGCCGGCCAGGCGACCGTGTTCGCGACAGCTGTGGCGCCCCTCAAGAGTTTCCCGTTGATACGGTGATGGTGGTGGTTATTATTGGCGTGATTGTGGTGATCGATGGCGATGAGGCTGGCATGCCTTGGATCAGGTCGCTCGGCCCAGCACAGCCCTTTTTCCACTAAGAAGAACGAGAACACCGCGTCCCTGTGGGGCGATAGCCATTCTCTCCTTTGCCACTCTACGTCGTCGTATTCTACGAGGATCTGGAAGAAAGACGTTCGTTCATGTTGCGAGTTTCTTCAACAACACGCCGGGGTTCGATGACACTGCCCACTCCATACAATAACCGCGCTATCCATCACCGTGCCTCAATCACGCTTTGTTCTCAACGATCCCTATTCGCGATGCAAATTATTTCTCTCCTCCCGATTTGTTTATTGTTCTAGGATGGAAATATTTTAATATTCCATTTTGATCGATAATCCTAATTATTTATTTATTTTTTTTATTTTATTTTATTCGAGATGATTTGAAATATTTGGTAGGTGGTTTTTTAAGAAGTTAAAAAATTATATGTGTACTTTTTAAGGAGGATAGGATTTAATTTTAATGTATCTTTAATTATGAAATTATTTTCTGAAGGTTCAAACAAATTTTGGGAATAATGTTAAAATTTAGAAACTTAAATTTTAGATTTATCATTAAATCGATATTATTATGAATCTGAGATTCATTTAGAAGAAATTAATATTATCGAAAAATAAATTGTGAATTTTTCTAGAATCTAGAAGAAAACGTTTTTACAAAGTTTCGAAAGTTTTGCAAATCTAAAAATCCAAGGTTTCGTTCCCATCCATCTCTCGATACAAATTACTCGATATTTGCAGATCTCGAATAGAAACTCCATCTATCTTTCGTTCGTTCGTTTGGATGGAGAAAAAACGAAAGAGAGCGGAAAGGGAACGGGAAATAAGAGGAGCTTGATATTGGCCGATTAACGGTATCCATTATTCATAAATCACGAACAGCAGCGGCGTTAAAAGGGTGATTGAAGGGGAAACGGTGAATTCTCACGGTCGGTTTATTTCAGCTCTTCGTTAACACGATAAATTCGTTAACGCCGGGGGAACAGCAATGAACGGAGCGATCGCTAATTGAAGGTCGGTCTCTGTGCGTCACTTAATAAATGCGATCACTGTGTCTAACGATCTGGTGAAAGTGATCGCGTATCTTTCATGAAAATGAATCGACCGTGCGCGACATCTTTCATTTATAATTCAAATTTCTTTCTTTTTTTTTTCTTTTTTTTTTTAATCGGCCTATTCGAAACGAGGATTTTTTTTTTCTGCCTATTTTTCGAAATAACGAGGATCGATCGACTATTTGTCGTTCATTCGGTTGATTTTACGATCGAGCGCGAGCCTCGAACGACCAACATTCCTCTCGTGCAGCGCAACGAACTCAAAGGCACACGCGTGACCCGTTACGGTCGTGGCGCGTCAGCCAATTAAATGCATAAATCAACATTAATCGTGGCGCTGCTAGGTCGTCGAGACCGTTTATTTGCGATCCTTTTTTCGAAACAGTTTTACAACGCTGTCTTTTTTATAGTTCGTTTGTTTCGTATATAACGTATTTTCTATAACGCGAATGACGTTCTATGACGATGACACATCGTATCAAGATATCAAGGATAAATTGTGAAACATTTTTTTCGTAGAACACTTTTTACGTAATATTTCTTCATTCCCAAGAAATTTGAATTTTTAGATTTTATAATTTATAACTATCTGAATTCTTCCTCGAATCAACGTTCTTATCAACGTTATTTTTTTCGCAATTTCACAATAACGTTTTATCTTTAATTAGATTCCTGGGAAAACGTATTTCTAATCTTTAAAAAATCGAGCTGCGAATTCGTGGAAAGAAATCAACACGCAATATCGCGGGAGAAAACGGATAAATTATTTCGTTGCAACAAGAGTTCCCCGGGAGAACCGGTGAAAATAAATCTTTGTATGCCCTTGATTTTATCGAATACACGGTCACACGAATGTCCGCTAAAAGCGCGGGGAAAACGAGGCTTGGTAACTCGGGACTCGTCCGTCAGGCGGCGATACCTGTCAGAGTGGGGATCAGTAATGGCCGCCACCGGATTCGAAAGCTCCGCCTCCAGTCAACGTTCCGGCACCGCCCGATTCGGTTGCCAAGGCGACCCACGGTCGGCCATTTTGGACTCGTGACCTACCACAACCGTCTTCTACACAGGCACGAATCTTTCCCCTTCTTCAACCACCACTTTCGACCACGATTCACGTCTCCTCATCCCCACCCAGCTAATACTCGTATCGCGCGCCGTCGCGGTCCGTTTCGCGTTCCCCTCGTTTCGAACACGGACCGAAAGAGAACGGTGCACGCGTGTTGTTCTATCCTCCAGCGAAAAATTTGGAATCTTTTTCTTTTTTTCGGTACGTTTCCCCGGAATATTTCATCCCCGTTATAATTTCACGTATAAATCGATGAGAAATTTGAATTTCTTTGAATCTCTTTCGTTTCTATTCCTCGTAGATAAAAAGAAGAATCGTTAGAAATGAAATTCGCGTGTAATCTCGTCCACTTCCCGATCAGATAAACCGTTCGCATCCTGCGTTCGTCGTTCCTTTCGACATTTAAAATCTAAAACGGCGGCCATTGACCAACTTCCTTCGTACCTTCCGTGACTCTAATCACTATCCAACTATTTCCAACGGCGTGACAACGACCAGAAGGCGTGGATGGAAAACCGCCTTGCCCCCAGATCCCAAACAGATAACCGACACGTTCCCACTTATTCGATTAATGGCTATTCCTTTCCAGGCAATTTTTTATTTCCACGTAACGGTCGAAAGAAATTCGGGCAATTTGAATTTGAAAGCAGATTATTTAAAATAACGAAAATAACGTTTCGATGAGCGGAGGTGTCGGATAGGTATCTCAAGGTCACTGCCAACATTTTGAAAAGATGCGTCACGCACTGTTTCGCGCATATTTATTTTCGCGACGACGAGGAGAGCGAGGACAACGACCCTCTCCCCTCCTCTCCACAGTGGTATCTCTCAAGGTCATTAAAGGTAACCTCTTTTATACATCCTTTTATACACACGCGTATAACTTTTCTTAAAATTAGCCACACACGTTTTGAAATCACGTTTTAGTGTCTATCTCGGTCGATCGATGAACACATAAATCATTCGAACGGCTGTACACAAGGCCACTTAACCGTATAATATACCAACACTTTTGATTCACGAGGCGCAAAAAAGAACGAATGACAGTTTCCAAGAGGCGAAATGAAACAAGCTGCATTCCACAAGAATGTTCCAGAGTGTGGAAAGACGCGAATATATATATATATA